TCGAAAGTGGAGAAGCACGTGGCGTGCTTGGAGACTGTAGAGGTGCTTGGTGAGAATAGAGGAGATAGAAAGTACAGGAATACTCACATTCCTGCGCCCAGAAGCTAGCATCTGGAGAAACAGTCGACGGCCAGTACAACTTCATAAAGTCCAAAAGGTCATCTCGTCCAAACTGCAGGAGGGCACTTTAGTAAGATTAACGATTTATTGGAGTGACGATGAGCGTACATCAGAAACGAATGTGTCGATACCCGGACCAGTCCATGGAGGAACAACCTGGTTGCGAACCCTCTTAGGATTTGGGGTGTCGTCGTATTGTCGAGAGAAGTCGCAATACGAATCGAATCCTCCTATCAAAAAGCAAGGTGTGAGAACTATATCTGACAAAAATAGAATGCGAGAGACGCACCGTCGCAGGTATCTGGCCAAAGTCCATGCATAGTCCAGCTGTTTCGTGGGAGGACTTGGCCTGGAGTGTCCCGGTTGGTCTTTGTGTTCCAGAACTAGACGTGTTGTAAGTTACGATGTTTTCATGGAAGGGTATAGTCAGACAAAGAGAGAGAGACGAACCTGGGTATGGACTACAAGTCCGCCTGGGGTAGGATAGCAACAAGTATTAACAGAGGAAGGCTATAGTATATTTATATCAGTCCAATACTTTGGATAACAGTGTTGTTGGTCAGTGCGTACCGTATTCTGACAACTTCGAACTGGGTTTGCGGGACATTGAACATCACTGGTAGGGGCCGCTCTGTGGTGGAGGACAGCGCCGTAGCACAGAGTACCCAAGCTCAAATGAGAGAGGATAGCTAGTACAGATAGCGAGTGCATCGTCGTTCTGCGTAAAGCAAAGGAGGGGCTGTAGTCTGAAGTGGTGGGGGATGGGAGTAGAGATGAGAGATGGACCGGATGTGCCCCCTATTTATGTTGTAACCTCGAGACCTTGGACGGCTTTGGGGGATGATCCGAAAGCACAAAGAGAGTCATCGAGATAGAGGGTGGGCCCGTGTCATCCGCTCTCATCTCGTTCCGCACATGATGCACCCTTACTCCCATTGATTTACTCCTAGAGAGACTGCATTTCTGGTGTCAACTTCCCAGTCACTTGAGGTGGACAACCGGCGCTGGCACACAAGTTGGGCCCAGGGCGGGTGGCGGCCAATCGGTGGGTTCACGGGACTGAATGACCAGCTGCGCCCACTGGGCCCAAAGCTGGTTACTCTTGGCATTCTAGGATGAAAACTAGAGTTGAAATGTATCGGAATTTCGGGGTGTGGCTGGCAAGCAGACACATCCTGGCGTAGTTGCTATGTTGGATGATCAAAAATATGATATTGGCGGAACTTGAGGCCGATTCGTACACGAATACAGCATGGACTGTGATTTGAAGCATCTTAGACGAGTAATCCGTGAATGGAAACCTCACTTACTAAGGCGAACACTTGTCAACACTGGGAAGACGACGAGCACTTGACCCGATCAGATAGTATTCTGAACGATTCAGATACCCGGAGCACACATGTCTCGATTGCGTCGATAAGTGAATTGTTGTTCACTGGCGGTGATCGTCTGTCCGCTTCGAGCTGAGGCTGGAACAATGAAAGCTTGACCCCTCCTGCTTCCTACCATCTCTCTCGTTCTCCACAATACGCATACAGGTCGTACTCACCTTAAGCGAACTGTATACTAGAGGTTTCCGCTCAATCCTGGTCGGGCGTTCTCAACCTTGGAACTGGACTTGGCGCCGACTGTCAATCATTGGTCACAACCACTTCTCCTCAATTTCGACCCTTCCATCCCATGCCTCAGATTATGGGGCTTCAGCTTCCTGTCGAGTTATGGCGCATCATCCTCTTTGAGGCAGTGGCGACTTCCATCCTACCATACGAAGACCCAAATCGAACCCGCCTCCAAGTTGGCCTTGTCGAATGTATAGACTTGTTCGACAACTCTTGCAGAGCCTATAGCGAATACCAAACCAATCAATCCGTATTGACCAATCTTCGTCTGGTCTGCCGCACATGGGCGTTATTACTCCAGGATTTTTATGGACTTTGCGCTCTCACAGATCTCAATAAAATCATGCGACCGAGTAAATCAAGGGAGTACCTATCTCGGGTAGAACGGGTTCATATCGATGAGATGGCCATTTTGGGATGCAAATGCTCCAACAGGGCGGCATCCTTGAACGGGACCTGTATACTTCTCCAAACCTCTCAAAATGATGTGAAGCCTCTATACCCTGGGGTCAAATATGACTTCTTATCGAAAGTTCTACATCCCCAAGTCAGAATCCTTTCGATATCCGTTGGTTCAATGAATCTGGACGAGCCTCTGGCCTCCGCTCCAAACCTGTTGGCACTCTCCTTGCATATGGGAATTGACTTTGTTTGGAATGCCACCATAAGTAGGACTCTCCGTGGTATAACTCATTTATCACTCTCTGCTGTTACTCCTGGGGCAATTGAAAAGTTTCCTCCATCTATGACGCTGGAGAATACCAGGTATCTCGCCCTCAATCTTCTACTTGTGGGTACCCACTCGACTCGAAATAAGGCCTCGCAATTCATTGGAGAATGGACATTTCCAAACCTTCATTCGCTCATCCTCAGAGGGATAGTGAACCAGGTCTTCCTTGGGGATGTCTACGACTTTATTCAAGGATGTGGGAAATTCGTTAGCGAGCTGATTATGGAACTACACTGGTCCGATGCGGAAATAGACGGGCAGCCCATGCGCATTTTCGACGGATGGGGCTGGTTCCCTAATTTACGAGTTTACGGGACAGAATTTGACACTCTTATATATGTAGATCCGGAAGAAATACTGGAATATGATAGGCCAGAGGAGGCTGGCCACTTAACTCTGCTCGTTTCTGGGTTCTTCCCTCCTCTCGAGCATTTGCAAGAGCACATCGATGTACTAGCAAATCGCCTGCTAAACTGGCAAGTAAGCAAGGTAATATTTACGGAAACATGGGACAGTTTGCACGACAGGTTGACTTGGAGAGGTCTCTCCAGGGATGTTCGGAGTCAGGACGTGCTTCGCAAAACCAAGCAGATCATGGATGCTATTGCCCTAACTAGTATATCATTGCACGACAAAATGGGTTCAAAGCTACAGAGCGAAGATGGACAAATCCTATGGAACGCATTATCGGCTGCTTGAAGGTAGCGAAGGGAAGAATGTATTGCATGGTTATAAAGTTCTCGTGTGTCATATTAATCATGGATTGGACCTGTAATATATTAAAGTTTGAAAGCTATTGATTCTCACATAACCATAGTAGCCATTTCAACGTCCCGTCTACCCGACGACGCAGGAGGCTAATAACTTTGATATTAATAAACAAGTTGACTGAGTTTCAATTGGAAATCAACCCGAGCCATATTCGTGAGTTAGAATCAACAGGGTCCAGAACCGGCGAACCTCATATTATGTAATACTGAACCTTACGCCCAACCGTCTCAAGCCCCAGCTCAAAAGCAGCCATCTAACGTGTTTGGTCGCCAGAAATCCTCAACTATCAGCTCGCTTTCAGGTACATACCTCTGTTTTCTAGGACTTGAAAACTAGCTCGAGTATGGATCAATCTGCTACCCAGCGCCTTCCTGTCGAGCTCTGGAGTACGATCCTCCACTTTGCAGTCGCCAGCCCCCTTCTGCCTTTCACTCACCACACTCGAGAAACTCTACAGACTGGCATCGTCGAGTGTCTCGATCTGTTCGACGTGAACTGCGACGCCTACAGCACCTATCGATCCAATCAGACCAACTTGACGAACCTTCGTTTAGTATGTCACTCATGGGACCTCGTACTTCGAGGGCATTATGGCCTTTTTTCGGCTACAAATTTGAAGAGAAGAGCAGGGATGGTAAAGGCGATGGAGGACCCAACGGTGGTCGAGAGGCTTCAAATCGATAAATACATGCCAGATCATAAGTGCTCTAATTGTAAAAGAAGATCCTCGTACACTTTAACGGGATCGAAAACCTGCAGTGTATTTAAGCATCCTCAGGAAACCAACCTTAACTCTCCTGGGGAACTACAAAACGTTCTGAAGAATACTTTGCACTCTGGCATCAAAACTATCGCTGCAATAGTCGGAGTGGAAGAACTAACACGCATACTATTGTCAGTACCAAATCTCTTGGCTCTCTCGTTCGAATTAAATATCGGTTTAAACTGGAGTCAAACGAAATCTCAGACATTGGATCGTCTAACACATTTGGAGATCTTGAATATCGCATGCGATCTCCTGATCCTTCTCCCCACCTCCATACGGTTTGAAAAGCTTCAATACCTGTCTCTCCAGTTCTGGTTCTCTGGCCAAAATTCACTCCATGATCATTCCATTGGGAAATGGTCCCTTCCTAATCTCAAATCCCTGGCTCTGGATGGTGTTGTAGAGCCTCATTTTCATGAGGATATCCGTAGTCTACTCCGTGGGTGTGCGCCAACGTTGACCCAACTGTGCCTCTCCATCACTAATGAGGACGAGGAAATTGAACACCTAGGTGATATTTGGAAGTTATGCCCTAAGTTGGATCTTTATGGGTGCATGATGGCCGAAATCACGGCTCAGACAATACAGCAGTATCCAAGACAGCCACATCCAGAGGGATCACCCCATATCACCCCTATTACATTACTATTAACTGATTTATTTATACCTCTAGATGATCCCTGGGTATCAGCAAGCTTAGTGATCTCTCTCGATCTGTTCGACGTGAACTGCGACGCCTACAGCACCTATCGATCCAATCAGACCAACTTGACGAACCTTCGTT